GAGAAACAGGAGAAACAGGAGAGGTCTGCTGCGCCATATGAGGGTTAGCTCCCTGGCTAACCTGAGATTGAACTCAGGCCATAGAGGTCAGAGAGATTACCCTAGGCCACCAGGGAGGCCCCCAACTTCTTTTCTCAAGGACTGCATTGGCAATTCAGGGTCTTCTGTGATTTCATAAAAAATTACATTTTTTTCTATTTCCTTTAAAATACCATTGGAATTGGGCCTCCCCTTTTGGTGCAGCGGTTGAGCACAGGGCTGCGAGGCTGCCCGCAGCCTCTGCAGCACTGGTTCATTCCCTGGCTGCTGGTGAGGGTCCCACAAAATAAATAAATAAATAAATAAATAAAAGTTGAAATTTTGATAGGTATTACATAAAATCTCTAAATTGTTAAGATAATATGCCTATATCCATGATGTTTATTCTTCTAGTCTATGAAAATAGGATATCTTTCCATTTATTCATGTCTTCTTTAATGTCCTTTGGTAGTATTTCATTGTTTTCAGTAAACAGATCATTCATTCCTTTGTTAAGTTTACTCCCAGATAGCACATCCTTTCTGGTGTCATTGTAAATGAAATTGTTTTCTTAAATTCTCTTTCTTCTAATTCACAGTTTGTATATAGAAATACAACAGATTTTGGTTTATTGATTTTGTTTCCTGACATTTCACTGTTATTATTCCTAATATATTTTTGGTAGAGTCTCTTGGATCTTCTAATCATATATATTCATTTATTTGGATTCATTTTATGTTATTTTCTTACCTAACTGCTGTGACAGGACTTCCAACACTATGTTGAATAGTAGTGGTGATAGCAGATACCTTTGCTTATTTCTGATCTTAGGGGAATCATTTTCAGTTTTTCATCATTGGTATGAAGCTTGATGAAAATTGTTAAATTTTTTTTGCATCTATTGAAATGATGATGCAATTTTTTTTGTTGTTATTGATGTGCTGAATGACTGATGGATTTGTGTATGTTGAATCAAACTTCTATTCCTAGATTAAATTAAACTTGGTTGTTGCAAATAGAGCAATATATTGCTCTATTCAATATGCCAAGATTTGCTGAAGAGTTTTGTACCTATATTCAGAGATTTCAGATTATGGTTTCCTATTTTTGTGCTGCCCTGGTTTAGTTTTTGAATCCATAATACTGGCCTGGTGAAATGTGTTTACATGCTTTTCTCAAGTTTAGAGAAAGTATAAGTATTAAATATTTGAAGTAGGTATCATTGTTGAAATAAGCCAGTGCTAAAATTTTGTTCATGGATTTTTGATTGTTCTCTTGATTTCTGTATGTGTGATTGGTCTGCACAAGCTGTCTATTCCATTCTGGTCCCATTTTAGAAGGTGCTATCATTCTTATAAAAAAAAAAAAAAAGAAAACAGTCCATTTCTACTATGTCATCTAGTTTATTTGCATAAAGATGTTCATAGCAGCTTCTTATGATGCTTTCTACTTCTCTTATTTCTACTGTAATCATGACTCTTTCATTTCTGATTCTTTTAATTTCTGTGTTTTTTTTTTCTCTCAGTGAACCTAGCTAAAGGTTGTTGATTTTATTTCTCCTATCAAAGTACCAGCTTTTGGTTTCATTGATATTTTGTATGGTCTTTTTTGTTTCTATTTAATTTATTTCTTCTCTAATTTTTATTATTTCCACTTTTTACTAACTTTTGCCTTCACTTGTTCTTCTTTTTCTAGTTCCCTCAGATGTAAAGTTAGGTTGCTTAATTGAGATTTTTCTTGTTTACAGATGTGGGCTGGTATTGCTCTGTACTCCTTCGTTATACCACTTTTAGTGCAAATAATAGGTCTGGAAATTTGTCTCTTCTATTTTGTTTGTCTCCTGGTAATGTTTTATTGCTAGCTTGGTTTCTTCACTGACCCAGAAATTATCCAAAAGTATTTTGTGTATGTCTATATGCTTGGGTTTTTCCAGTTTTCTTTTTGTGGTTGATTTCTAGCTTTTTACCATTTTAATCAGAAAAAAAGATATTTGATATATTTCTAATTTCATCTACTTTTGAGATATGGTTTGTGCCCTGCAATATGATCTATTAATGAGAATGTTCCATGTGATTTGGGGAAGTATGTGTATTCCCTTTATAATTTGAAAACTTAAACTTTGGGATTTTGTTGTTGCTGTTAGAGCTCACAGGGGATTGTACTATCAAATGAGAGTTAACTATGCGATACTAAGAATTTTTTTTTAGTGTAGTCACAGATGTCTTGATGATTTCTTAAAGTCTTTAAGTCTTATATTCCTGAGTCCATTTTATTATGGCCATATTAACATCATCTACTTAATATGACTGTTGAAAGCATAGAGAAGATTGTGTGTATGTGTACCGAAATCTCTGTTCACATGTCTGTCTATATGAATGTGTATCTATTTATGAAATCCTGGCCTCCCTAAGATGGGTACTGGGCATGAGGATTAGTTTAAAATAAGGTCAGAAGGAAAAAAGAAAAATATTGGATGGTTTCACTTATAGCAGGAATATAGGGGAACCAAATAAGACATCAGTGTAAAAAATAACAACAGTACAAAACCAACAAAGCAAAAATGGACAATTATAAACCAGAGACATCCTGAAGGGCAGGAGGAGGGAGAGGGATCAGAGGGAGGGAGGGAGGAGCACAGGGGACTGAGGTGATGGTGCACGGGTGCCTTGGAGAAGGAAACTCTATGGTGACCACACCTGAGGGGTGGGGAGAAATATTATTTAAAAATGAACAATGATGTAAAAATAAATTTAAAAAAATTAAAAAATAAATAAAATAGCGTCAATTGAGGCCTAGCACTTTCATGAGAAACTTAACTATCTAGAAGAATGAAAAATGAGGGTATTACCTAAAATTAGAAATTTTATCAGCAATAACTTTCTATCTACAAAACCTATCTACATGGTAGGGAAAACATCTAATTACAAGTCAAGTGGTTTTTCCTCGGAAGAGACATCCTCTCTTCATCATGTGAGTTTTTCTCCTCTTAAGTTCCAGGTCGCTATCCAATTCTTTATCTGGGAGATATACTCTCATTTTTGCCCATAAGTTTTTAATCTACATTCAGGTAGATAATCCATATGTATGCTAATTAGATGTGTTCTTTCATCCTACTAATCTGTCTGATGCTAATTTGGTTGCCCAAGCAATCCAAGATAAACACAGAGAGTGAAGAGTTGAATGAGAGTTGAATGATACTTCTTGTTGAATGAGACTTCAGCAAGAACTTCCTTTTAAAATGCTAGCATGGAGCCTCCCCGGTGGCGCAGCGGATTGAGCACAGAGCTATGAAGCTATCCACAGCCTCTGCAGCAGGGGTTTGATTCCCAGCCAGCCAGGGAGATACCCACATTGTGTGGCAGACTTCTCCTGTCTTACCTGCTGCTCCCCTCAGCAGTGCTTTCAGTATGTCTGCCTTTTCTGCTCCCCGCTCTGTCTCTGGTGAATCCTCTCACCCTCCTGTGACTCTGACCTGTACCCCAGTTCTTGTATAAAAATAAATAAATCTTTCATAAAATAAAATAAAATAAAATGCTAGCATGTGAGCAATGGTGGCACTCTCAGAGATAACACTTGTCAGTCTTTATTGCTGGGTTCACATATAAAACTTGCAAAGGTTAGAACCAGAATTTGACTACAAAAGAGAAATAACCATACTTTTAGATAGAGTGGTGCAAAATGACAACTATTGCTCAGCAATATCTGAAATATCTTTTATCAAATCTATTTCTAAACTTTTAAAATGGAACTAGTCCTGGGAATAAAATTAGCAAACCCAGTCCCTGCATAGAATTATAAAACATCTATAGCAAATCATTCATTCTGCAGTGTAGATACTTCCTCATTCAGATTTAATTTAGTCAATCCAGCTTTAAAAAATTCTATTGTCAAAAAGCTTGTGAATGTCACTAATTTCTTGTTGCTAGGAGATGCAGATGAACCTGGAGAAAAAGGGGGGATTTTCCTCTATAAGGTGCAAAGATATAGCTGCCAAAAGTAGTCACTGATGAAAACAATTGGTCAGGAAAAAGTGTCCTTGTCTGCTTTATAAGAAAAACAGTGAAGTTTGGCATGCGGATTAGTGTATTAGTAAATTAGCTTAGTTATGCTTGATAAAATAGCAGATTGATGAAGGGCTATGGGCTTACATTTCTGCCACTTAAGTCATAATCAAGTTCCAGTCATTCATATCCACAGGAATGTGCTCTTCTCCCTCCCCTACTCATGATTCCATCCTCTTTTATCCTCTCCTTTTGTCTATTCATTCATTCATTCACTCACCATTCAGCAAGAATCTTTTTAGTGAATTCCATGTATAACATTTGGTGTGAGAAGATTTACAATCTAATAGGGATGATAATATAACATTAGGTCATGTTTTTCTTCCTAGGAAAATATCTTCTAATTTTTCTAAACCACTGTGCCTTTCAGCTATGCTTTGATCTATGAGAGAATTTTATTTTATATATTAATTGCTTCTAGTGGAAGACTCTTATTTCCCCCAAATAATCTTTAGTTCCCCACAGTGGGGTGCTGGCTCAAGCAGCTACTCTCTCCTGAGCTATATCTGGCCCAATGAACACACTCACCATCACCTTGTATAGGAACCCAGATACTTTCCCTCTTTGTTGAGGGAATACCTTCTGTATTCTTGTTCAGATCTATGAAGTTAGGGGAAGTCACATTATTCTTCTGTGCACCAAACTTGAAAGCTGCATGGAGCAAAAGACATCACTGTATCCCTCCCATAGCACATGACCCAATGAGGAATATGGTAGCTGTCAATAAACACAAATTAAATACTGGCTGAAATTCAGTAAGTAATAAGAGATTTGTGAAGGCATGCAGAAAACTTGTTTTGACAGCCTACTTTTTCAAGTACAAAACTTTTGAACAATTACTATTCTCCAAAGGGTTACAAACCTGTCTCACTGATGTGGCAGATTTACTTTCCAAATAATTCTAATGTTTCAGATCTTTACCTGAGTCTGCCATCCTCTGCTGCAGCACCTCCTGGTATAATTTTCGTAATAAATATGCCAGGGTCATCTCCAATGTGAGGATTATCTGTCCCTCCAGCAATACTGAATCCCAGGCCAGAATTGCCCTGCAGAAACAATAAGTAGACATTAAATGATGTAGTTGTCATCTAAACCCAGCTCCCCTTGTACTCTGTGTTATCATCTTACTACTAAATGGAAATCAGGTGATAACAGCCTTATATGCAAAATGTAAAGTACACTGTCAGCAGACAAAGAAAGGTCAAGAAAAACACTCACATCTTTCCCTGCATTACAGGAATTCAAGGGGTCTTATACTTTCACAATTTCAAAGGGCCTTATATTTTTGTTATAAATTATTTTTCGATGCAGCAATTAAAGTGATTATGAAGCAGGAAAAAAAGCTTATAATTGTGTAACATGAAACAATGCAAAATTCGTTAGTCTCAATTACAAAAAAAAATACAGAAGAAAAAAATGGGGAGTGAGTGAAAGAAATCATATGAAAATATTGGTTGACAGAATCATGACATTTGGGTATTTTCATTTTTTTTTATTTCCAGTATTATTGTTCTTATATAGTTTATCTGTCAAATAAATGTTCCTATATTATAACAAGGAAATTTGACATTAGAAGACAGGGCCCCATTCTAGAGGCATAATAATTGTGATATACTTTTCAGCAATAAAAAGACTTTGATTTGAAGAACATATAGACAAGAGAAAGATATTGCTTGAATCATGTAAATTGAGTAGTTTATATTCCAGCAGTTTTCATACTTCTGTAGGTTATACTCATTGACATCTAATCTCTGTACACCCTTCTAAAATTTGTATGTAACACATAATCAAACGTATCTCCAAAAGTCACACTGTCTCACTTAACAATTTTATTTTAATATTTTTTCTTTTTAGCTCCATCACCATGGTTGCAATTTTTCTATACCATGTTTTCCTTTTTTTCTAATTCACATATTTTAAGCAATTTGCATAAAATTAGGTAATATTTGTAATTATTCATTTTAAATAACTAAATAATGTGTTCTCAAGGTCATGTACCAGCATGTCTCCTGTAACTGGATACCTAGTTTCTCAATATGCTTACTAAATTTATAATCACTTACTAAGTTTTGCTCTTGTGTAAAAAGAGATGAGGACGAAGAATTTCATAGTTAATCCAGAAATTAGGCCTCTCAATTAGTCAGAAAATTTCATGTCAAGATAAACTCAGCTATAACTTAACATTATATCACTGCAAATGTAATGTTTAGCAGATTTATTGATTGAATTAATCAATTCTGAATTTCACAGGGCTGTTTTCACAATTGTACATTTATGTTGAAAGGTTGAAATTAATAATTCAGCCACAGCAACTAAAATTCCATGCTTTTATACTTCTGACATCTCTATAATTTTGTTGTTTCTTTGAAGAATTCTAACATCCACTGAACAGGGAAGGTACTAAGCACCTTCATTTAGTATTTATTAAATTATAATTTTTTTAAGATTTATTCATCTATGCATACAAGAGCTGGGGAGAAGGCCAGAGTTGTGGGGGATTGAGAGGATTCACCAGAGACAGAGCGAGAAACAGAACAGATAGATCCACTGAAATACACTGTCGTGGGGAGCAGCAGGCGAGACTGGAGGTGTCTGCTGCACCATGTGGTCAACTCCCTGGCTGCGGACAGCTCCATGGCACTGAGACTTAACCCTTGTGCCACCAGGGAGGCCCCTAATTTAGTATTTATTAAACCCCAGTACTTTGCCTGCCCTGGACTAACCCCTGGAATTACAACAGTGTGTATGCTACTTTATGAGGCATATGAGGACAAGGGCAAAATCCAACAGTGGCAAACAGGAGGAGCAAACGCAGGGACTTTACCTATGTGAATAGCAGTTAGTTACTTTGAAGGGGAACAGGGTGGAAATTGGAGAGGAAGATAGAATATTTCAGGCAGAGGAAAGAGCCTATATAAAATTTCTGATGTAAGGAAGGGTACATCAGGCCCACAAAACAGACAATACGGCTGGAACAAAGAAAGAGAGCAGAATTGGATGAGATGAGTGGGTATCACGCGGTTCTTCAGAGCAGAATGTATGTGCATTTGGTTTTGGCTTTATTATTATTTTTTTTAATCCAAGGTATCTACTTTATTTTTTTAATTAATTTTTATTTATATATATATTTACATAATTGCTCATTTTTTTAAATTTTATTTTTATATTCCCCATACAATTACGACCCCCTTATTTTGACCCCAAACCCTCCTTTCCCCGCCCCCCACCCGCCATAGAGTGTCTCTGGCTCATAGTTGTTTGTCGATTTTGATTTTTACTTTCTTATAGTTATTCTTTCTCCTGGTCCCTTATGTAGGTTTTCTAAATTCCTGCTATGAGTGAGACCATCCGGTATTTTTCTTTTTCTTACTGGCTTATTTCACTGAGCATGATCCTTTCCAGCACCATGCATGTTGCTGCAAATTGCATGTGTTTATCTTTTTTGAATGCTGAGTAATATTCTATGGTGTATATGTACTACATCTTCTTGATCCAGACATCCATCGGTTTTGGCTTTAAATACCTACTAACACCAATGACCCGATCAATATTGGATGAGTATCTCCTATGTGAGTGACCCCAAACTAAGGCTACAAGGATAAGACCTTATAACTCTGCCTTCAAGCAAATCAAGGCTAAGCCGAAAAGGCAGTTATTTTCTGGCATCTGGTCATCAATACATTTTCATCCTAAAACTTCAGCTACATTATCATTTAAACATCAGTAACTAGGTGACTTAAATGAGGTATTTTCCACTAAGATTCAGAGGACTTTGAAGGAAAAGATTGTGTAGATGAGTATCTTCAGTGTACTTTTGAGTTTAACTCCAAAATTATCAGTTGGAGCAGACTGGCCTTACTGGCTAGATTGGGCACCTAAGGAATCAGTATTTTGTTTTTTGTTTTTTAACATTTTTTTTTAAGATTTATTTATTTATTTATCTATTTATACAAGCACTGGGTACAGTCAGAAGCGGGGGAGGGTGAGAGAATTCACCAGAGCCAGAGCAAGGAGTAGAACAGGCAGAAGGAACGAAATACACTGCTGAGGGGAGCAGGGGAGCAGCAGGGGGCAGGAGAGGTCTGCGCTCCATGTGGGACCCTCGCCCGGTGGCCGGGGATCGAACCAGTGCTGCAGAGGCTGCGGGTAGCTTCTTAGCCCAGCACTTAACCACTGTGCCACCTGGGAGGCCCGATGAGTATTTTGACTAAAGATGATGCAAGGAGGCAAGCAGAGGTTCGGAGATACTCAAGTGCCTTCTGTTGACAATATTGATGAGGGTGGAGAGGACATTCACAATTTTGTCATTTGAGCAAGATATTCATGATATAGCGCTTATCTTTTCTCTTTTACTTCTACTTTTACATGTTAGGCCCCAGAACACTGATGGAACTTCTGGCTCTTTCATGCACTAATCAACATCATCATTCATCTTTTGTCATTTACTCATGCTGTTTTCACTGCCTGAAAGCTTCCATCTCCCACTTGACTGGCTCAGTTCTTCCCATTTTTTTAAAAAAAAATTAAAATTTGATCTTTTTTAAATTGATCTTTGTGTAGAAGAACTGGGATGTAGGCCAGAGGAGTGGGGGGTTAGAGGATTCACCAGAGAAGGAGTGGGGAGCAGAACAAGCCAATTTACTGAAATATACTACTGAGGGGAGCAGTGAGCAAGACAGGAGAGGTCTACTGTGCCATATGTGGGTCAGTTCCCTGGGCAAGGATCAAACTCAGGCCATGGAGTTTATACTGCAAAGAATTAACCCTTAGGCCAACACGGAGGTCCAGTTCTTCCCATATTTTTAAGATAGGACTTAGATGGCATACGCTCCAAAAGATATTAACAATCACATCAAATCCTCTTCCCTGCATAAATCATTCATCTCAGTTTTTGTAGATTTCTATGCTTCTCTATGTGATGCACTGTGTTATAGACCTATACGTATTCTTCATACCTATCTGGCCAGTGTTCCATTAAATTAAGCTAGTAGAGGGCCTCCCCTGGTGGCGCAGCGGTTGAGCGCTGGGCTGCGAAGCTGCCCGTAGCCTCTGCAGCGCCGGTTCGATCCCCGGCCACCAGGTGAAGGTCCCACATGGTGGACAGACCTCTCCTGCTGCGCCCGCTGCCCCCCTCAGCAATGTACTTCCTCATTCTGCCTGTTCAGTTTCCCGCTCTGGCTCTGGTGAATTCTCTCACCTTCCCGCACTTCTGACTATACCCAGTGCTTGTATAAATTAAAAAACAAATAAATAAATAAATTGAGCTAGTAGAAGGTAAGTGTTTATTGTGATCTGTGATCTGGTCTGACATATAATATTATTCAATAAATGTTTTATGAATGAATGAACAGATATTCAAACTCTAAAGTGAAGTCTCAAAATAGACACATTAGAAGTTCAGAATTTGTTAAGAAATGTAATGTCGAAGCCATTTTGTTCTGGGTGGATCCTCAATAAAATTTTAGCTATCAGAATCCAACAATGTATCCATAAGATAATTCACCACGACCAAGTTGGATTCATTCCAGGGGCACAAGGATGGTTTAACATCCGAAAATCAATCAACGTTATCCAACACATCAACAAAAAGAAATATAAAAACCATATGATAATATCAATAGATGCTGAGAAAGCTTTCGACAAAGTGCAACACCCATTCATGATAAAAGCCCTTGAAATTCTTGGGATACAAGGAACATACCTCAACATCATAAAGGCCATCTATGACAAGCCAACAGCCAGTATCATTCTCAATGGTGAAAAGCTGAAAGCAATTCCATTAAGATCTGGAACAAGACAAGGATGTCCACTCTCACCACTGCTTTTCAATATAATACTGGAAGTCCTAGCCAGAGCAATAAGACAAGAGAAAGACATCCAAGGAATCCAAATAGGAAAAGAAGAAGTCAAACTATCACTATTTGCAGATGATATGATAATATACATAGAGAACCCCAAAATCTCCACAGAAAAACTAATTCAACTCATCAATCAATTCAGTAAAGTGGCAGGATACAAAATCAACACTAAAAGTCAGTGGCCTTCC